GGCTTCTTCCCAATGTCCTACAACCCAAAAGCAGAGTCTAAACCATCAAGAAACAGCCACTGAAATGCCCTGAAATGGATTCTTTTTCTTTCTTCCTTTTTTTTTTCTTTTGAGACCAAGTTTCACTCTTGTTGCCCAGGCTGGAGTGCAATGGCATGATCTCAGCCCACCGCAACCTCCGCCTCCCAGGCTCAAGAGATTCTCCTGCCTCAGCCTCTGGAATAGCTAAGATTACAGGCATCCGCCACCACGCCCAGCTAAATTTTTTGTATTTTTGGTAGAGACAGGGTTTCTCCATGCTGAGCACCTCGGCCTCCCAAAGTGCTCAGATTACAGGTGTGAGCCGCCACGCCCGGCCTGAAATGGATTCTTTAAATGCATCTTGAGGCCAGGCGCGGTGGCTCATGCCTGTAATCCGAGCACTTTGGAGGCCAATGGGGGCGGATCACCTGAGGTCGGGAGTTCAAGACCAGCCTGACAACATGGCGAAACCCCGTCTATTAAAAAAAAAAAAAAATTAAAAAAAAAAAAAAAATGCATCTTGATTCATGCAATTCTATAGGATGTCATTTAAGTAGCAGCATTCTGAACACTGAGCATTTACAATAAAGAGACTGCCAACCTCTTCCCATACATGGTCAGCTCATGTCAATTCCTGGTTGAAGAAGCCTTTGTAAGATGATAGGGAAAGAACTGGAGAGAGCAGAAGTGGGGGGACTGGCCTGAGGGTTGATAATGCCCAGTGAAAGAGCAATGCTGTGGAAGAGTTCTATACCAAGGAAAATTATATTCCGAGTGTAAATACAGTTTTCAAGAAATAGCTCTGTGGCAAATAAGGAATGCTGACAGCTAATTTAGCAATGAGAGAAAATGAAGTATAGCCGGGCGTGGTGGCTCAAGCCTGTAATCCCAGCACTTTGGGAGGCCGAGGCGGGTGGATCACGAGGTCAAGAGATCGAGACCATCCTGGTCAACATAGTGAAACCCCGTCTCTACTAAAAATACAAAAAATCAGCTGGGCATGGTGGCGCGCGCCTGTAATCCCAGCTACTCAGGAGGCTGAGGCAGGAGAATTGCCTGAACCCAGGAGGCGGAGGTTGCGGTGAGCCGAGATCGCGCCATTGCACTCCAGCCTGGGCAACAAGAGCAAAACTCTGTCTCAAAAAAAAAAAAAAAAAAAATGAAGTATAAACAACAAAGGCTACTACAGGCCCCTGCTCTTGTCAGCATGGATGAGCCTTTTTATACATCATCCCAAGTAATTATTTAAACTCACTCTTCTAAATTACAAGAGAGGGCTGGGCACAGTGGCTCACACCTGTAATCCCAGCACTTTGTAAGGTCAAGTTGGACGGATTACTCAGGGTCAAGAGTTCAAGACCAGCCTGGTCAACATGGTGAAACCCTGTCTCTACTGAAAATATAAAAATTAGCTGGGTGTGGTGGCATATGCTTGTAATCCCAGCTACTCAGGAGGCTGAGGAAGGGAAGATTGCTTGAACTCAGGAGGCAGAGGTTGCAGTGAGCTGAGACTGCACCACTGCACTCCAGGCTACATGACAGAGTGAGCCTCCATCTCAAACAAACAAACAAACAAACAAAGACCATCTCAGAAGGTCCTTGTCTTTAAACTGGCTGTTACAAAATTTCTAATCCCTCCATTGTCAGATTTGCATACCACTCTCTATACTAGGGTGTCTCCCCCAAATGAGAACTTACTCAAAATAAATTTTAGAAATGATAATGGAGTGAGCTCAAAGTTTCACAATTTAAGTATCAGGAAACTAGGCAGCTGTACGAAATCTTTCACTATTTCTGACTGGAAAAAAAACCAACAACTTCCTCTTCCATGTTCTTCTCTTCATTATCGGCCTCCATTATCAGATGGGAGGTAATGTGTATCTATACTGCGGGCCTTGAACAGTGTGTTGCACACAGCAGGTGTGCAGAATGGGCAGGTGTTTTAATGTGCATCCTATGAGCCCTGTCTCCTTAATTTATATTTTCACCTTGAATAATGCTCTCACTGATATAACAACCATTCAGGAGGCTGGAAAAGTTTATGGGGAGACACTTCCAGCAGAAGGGGGGAAAGTCCTTTTGCAAAGTATTACTCAGGTACTTCTGCATTAAGCAATGAGCAATGGATTGCCCCCCAAGACAATCACTAGAGCTTGGACAGCAGCCAGAATAGGTGTCACCTTAGCAGTTACTGGAGACCACCTTTCCCACCCCCATGCAGGAAGAAGTGCTAAAAAGCACAGAAATCCATTTCCAGAAGACAGCTTAAGGACCTAGCTTGATGGTGCATCTGCTATGTCCTGAGCAGTTAGCCACTTAGTGCAGACAATTACCAAGTGATAAAACAAAATTAACTTGTGATTTCCTTTTTAAAATGTCTGTTAAATGAATTATTTCTTTGCTTTTAAGCACAGATGGTCAGTGACTTAATGATTTTTCAACTTTACAATGGTGCAAAAGCATTAGGCATTCAGTAGAAACTGTACTTTAAGTACCCATACGACCATTTCATTTTTCACTTTTAATACAGTATTTAATAAATTATATGAGCTGTTCAACACTTTATTATTAAAAAGGTTTTATGTCAGATGATTTTGCCCAACCGTAGGCTAAGTGAGTGTTCTGACCATGTTTAAGGTAGGTTAGGCTAATCTATGATGTTTAGTAGGTTAAGTTTATTAAACACAACTTCTACTTTCAGTATTTTCAACTTACAATTGGGTCCATTGAGACACAGCCTCACCGTAAGTTGAGAGGCATCTGTAATATAGCACCCACCCCAAGTCCAAAGGTGGACAAGAACAAAGAGCCAAGAAACATACCTACTACTCCTAATGGTGCCACTTAACCAAGCCCATGATTTTGGACAAGCCCCCTGAATCTTTTTCTGTTTCTGTCCCTCTCTATCCTATAGGAGCCACAAAAGGTTCAAATGAAATTAGAGTTCAAGAAGACTTCAGAGGCCTGAACGAGTGAAAGGTGCTAACACCTTCACCATCATCACTAAGGAGAGCCGGGAAAGGCCTGAGGCCATCTCTACTGTCAATTTGACATTGATCAATGTCCTGACTAATGATTGTGGTGGCCTTTCAGTGTTAACTCTCATCCAAGCATCATCGAGGTCATCAGTAGTTGTGGGCATGTAACGATATTCCCTGCTGTGGGCATGTATACATTGTATCCTTATTTATAAAGTTAGTATGGTTTTGTACATGGATAATATGATTTAATTTTGTTAAGTTACAACTCCACATAGTCATGTGAACCAACTGGAATTGCAGATAGTTTGGGATTTATTTCTGAAAACAAATACTACAGAGAGAAGTAAAAGGCTTTCAAAGTCATTGAACTGTGCTGGACCACTTTTCTGCTAAAAGAAAGTCATTGGGGCCGGGCGCAGTGGCTCACGCCTGTAATCCCAGCACTTTGGGAGGCCGAGGCGGGTGGATCATGAGGTCAAGAGATCGAGACCATCCTGGTCAACATGGTGAAACCCCGCCTCTACTAAAAATACAAAAAATCAGCTGGGCATGGTGGCGCGTGCCTGTAGTCCCAGCTACTCAGGAGGTTGAGGCAGGAGAATTGGCTGAACCCAGGAGGCGGAGGTTGTGGTGAGCCGAGATCGCGCCATTGCACTCCAGCCTGGGTAACAAGAGTGAAACTCCGTCTCAAAAAAAAAAAAAAAAAAAAAAGAAAGTCATTGGAGAGGTGGGGTGGGGATGGGATTACAAAGTCTCCACCTACCTTTGCAACATGAATGACTCTAAAATAATGTAGGTCTTCTGAATTGGACCAACTACCTTTGCAGGAAACATCTTAACCACCCCACATCAGGACCTCTCTTCCAGTGCTAAGTACAGAAGAGCAGTGCCGAGTGGAGACTCTCATTTAGAACACTAAATGTAGGTAACTCAGTGCTGGGTAACTTTGAGTCAATAAAGCTCCTCAAATCCCCGTTTTAGAAACCACAACAGAAAAGGCCAGTAGGCTTCAACTACCTTAGGGACCAGCTCTATTTCTTCATCTCCCTGTGTCCTCAGTTTTGCATACGGCCAGCTCACAGCAGGCCTTCATTCCTTTTTCCAAGTAATCTCAAACTGAGCACCTACTATGTACCAGGCACTGGGGCTATCATTTTGGACAAAACAGATGAAGCCGTTTTCATGGAGCTTCCACTGTGGTGGTGAAGACTATCAAGCTGCAGACAAATCAGTATAACTCTGGCTGCTGCTGTAAAGGAAATATTAGCTGAATAAATGGCCCAAGTGGCTTATCCCAAATCACGCATACTAAATGGTGGAAGAGGCCAAACTCAAGTCTCCTGGCTCCTATTTTCTCTTCTGTCTGCTGCCCTCTATCCTTCACTCAGCAAAAGGGCCACACATTTACATCAAAAGAGGCCCAGTCACCAGAGGCTCTATGATCTAATGAAATTTCTTCAAGCCTCAAAGTGCTTACCTGCTTACCTCCAAATGAGAACGAAGGGACTAACTGGATCTCACCCTTTCCCAACAAAGCTAACTCTTTCAGAGAAGGCTTTAGTAAGGCCTGGGATCTTGCAGTACCTATTCGCCAGGGCATGGCTTTAGGTGTCGGCTGTACAGAGAAAACATCCCTGCAGCCCACCAGTTTATTGGCTAGTTCTATAGGGCAAGTCAGAGTACTGGCACCTGCTTTGATGCAGCAGATCCCTCACGTATTTATTAAGCAGATTTACTAATAAGGTCAGATGGCTAAATCAGACAGTGGACTTAGGTTCAAAATCACCAAGCTGCAAAGAATCAAGGAGCCTCGTTTATGTGAATAAAATTTACTGCAACAGATAACAGTAACATCGTTTATGAAATGCCTGGTATGTAGTAGGGGCTTTGTACTAAACAGCCCCTGAGATACATATGCTCTCTCAAAGATGAAGAAGCCCAGAGACGTTCAATAATCGGTCCCCTAAAATATACAGCCAGAAAAGTGCAAGGCCTGGATTCTGAGCTGGCTAAGAAGGGAGAATTGGGGATAATTAACACACACGGACATGCAAAGAAACAAAGACACAACCACAAGTCCACAGGGTAGGCAGCGGTTGGAAAGTTACAAATGCACCGCAAGAAGATATCACCATGGACCCTGAGAATGCAGGAAAGTGGGAACTGACTCTTACGCCCTTCCCCCAAGGCGAAGGAAAGGCAACCCCTGAATTCTTAAAATAACTCTCGCTTCCTCTCAGCCGGCAAATGCACCGGACTGCTCCTCTGCAGGCCGAGAGGCGCCGCAGCGGGAGGGTGAGCTCCAGCCTCCGCCGCAGCCCCTCGACGTCACGCTCCTGCCCGGGGCCACCAGGGAGGGCAGCGGTCCTCGGTCCTGGGAGAGGGTGTCGGCCGAACCCCACCTCCCATTTTCTGGGGACCCAGGGTCCAGAGCGGAGACCAGATTGCACAATCGGAGGAGTCCTCTCCAGGATCCCCGCCGCGCGCCCAATCCGCAACGACAGGGACTTGCCGGCGGTGCGCGAGAGGCGGCCGGAGCGGGGACAGCAGCCGGCCCTCGGGCCCGCGCCGGGAAGGGCCCGAGCCGGGAAGGACCCGCGGTGAGCCCGCCCCCACGCCCGCACCTCCCACCGCCCTCCTGCGCGACTAAGCGCGCGGACACCTGCGGAGCCCGGGTCCCCGCGCCCTAGCTCCCCTGGGCCGGGTCACCCGCAGGCTGAAGACATCTGTGAGTCTTCGCCGCCAGGGCCGGAGGCGGTGCGGCCAGGAAGCTGCCGCGGGCCGCGCCGATGCCCCCGGCCCCGAGCCGACCTGCGCCCGGAACTCCGGCTGGTGGCACAGCCGCCGCCCCTGCACCCACCGCCCGCCGCCCGCGCCCACCCTGGGCTCGCGCCGAGGACTCACCCGCTCGCGGTGAAAGTTTCGGGGCGGCGGAGCTCCACGGTGACTTGAGTTCAGAGCGAGGGGCGCGACGGGGCGGCCCAGCGGGACCCGCGTAGGGGGAGGCTGCTGGCCGGGAACTCGGGACGCGCGGCAAGGGGCTGCGGGCGCGGGGCCGGGGGTGGCGCGGCCGCCCAGCTTGCCGCGGGCTGGAGGCTGCAGCGCGTCGGGCCCGGAGGCGCCACTGCCGGGGAGCTAGCGGCAGCGCGGCCCGGCGCGGCGGGAGAGGAACTGGCTGTCTCTGGGCTCGACCGAGAGGTCCCAGCTACTTCCTGGTGCTCGGATTTGCATATTGAGCCCGGAGGGCGGGGAAGTGACCGTTTGGTCCCTGCCCAAGGTTTGGGTGTTTGGTGTGGCCGTCGTGCAGGGTTTGAAGGCACAGAAACCTGGCGACTCAGCCTGCAGCTCCGGCGAGAGGAGGAGCCCGGGCCATCCTTCTCCTGCAGGGACGGACGGACGGACGGGTCTCCGGGTAGCCTGGGCTTCGCAGGCGCATCGACGACATCTCGCGGGTCTCCTTTCCTTTCCTTCCGACCCCTCCTCAAGGTGTTAGGAAAGGGGTGCTCCCGGGAGCGGAGGAGGTGAGTTCTGATCCCTTCCAACGCTAGGGGGTCTGTAGAGAGAGGACGCGATATGCCGGGTTGAGGCTCGGGGTCTCGAGCTCTTAATAATCATTACAAAGTAAGTTCCTTCAGGGTGTACAGGGGGCTGTTCAGGGCATTGATGGGGGAGGGTATGACGTGGAGTCAAACGGCCCGGCAAGTTCTCCGTTTCTCAAAGCCTCAGTTTCCCCCCAGGAAAATGGATGTAAGGATGCCTATCTCGTGTACTTTTCTGTACCGGGGCCGCACCGCCTGCATGCGGGAATGCTGGCCGTTACTTCAGTCCTGCTACACCCGCATGCCGGCCTGTAGGGCAGTGCTTGCAAGTAGCAGATGCCTAACCAGTATTTGCTGAAAGAATGTATGACCGCGGGCTCAAGCTCATGTTCAACTTATCCAAGATGTAAGATTAGGCTCGGACACCATGGATACCCACTTCTTGGCCAGATTCTGTTCACTGGGATCCCAGCATTGCATTACCTTGCAGAATTTACAAGGAAGCAAATTGGACACCGTGGGAGACTTGGTCTTTGCATTAATAGCAAACATTTACAGAGGGCTCGATGGGCCAGACACTGCCCAAAGCACTTGCTCTCTCTCTCAACAATGTTCTGAAGAGGCTGGCCCCAGCTGCAGTGCAAGAGGTCAAAGCAGCTGCCTTGTGACACAATCTGATACAGCAGTCATTTGTTACTATGGAAAGGAGTACTAAAGTTTGCAAACGAATTCCTTAAAAGAAGAAAAGGAGGGTGGTTTATACCTGTGATGTTCACTGGTGTGTAGTTCAGTTAGTTTGCTGCTGAAGAGAAGAAGGGGTGGGTTGCCCATGGGAAGGGTGTGATTGAAACTTATCAAGAATCTTATGGAGAAAAAAAGAAAAAAAAAATGAAACAAAACAAAAAACAAAGAATCCTATGGAGTAATTCACCTGAGGGCCTATTGCCTGCTTTTTTCTTCAGAATGACCTCTCAAATATGTTAATCCTACATTCAAGTATCTACTGCTACTGATGAATCCTTGAGATCCTGGCTCAACGTGAGTGGCAAATAAGAATAGGATTCAAAACGTTTGGTATTGGCTAATCTATCAGGAATGTCTGTCAGTGTTTTTGGTAAAATGTCTCTGGGGTAAGGAGAGCATCATCAGGCAGACATGAGGTTGCACCCAGCTCCCCAACTCCCAACTCCTCACACACAAGGTGTCCTCACTAACTTCATCTCTTCATTCTTATTTGGAAGAAACAATACTATGCTAATTTCCACTTCTTAGGTTGCATTTATACTTGATGAATACTTCGTTCAATCATTCTCTATATCTGTCTTTCCTTCCTAAAGTCCCATGAAAGTTCTGTTTCTCAGGAAAGTTTGATTTAAAGCTCCTATTCATAGGCAACTTTTCTTTTCTTTTTTTTTTTTTTTTTTTTGAGATGGAGGTTTGCTCTTGCTGCCCAGGCTGGAGTGCAAAGGTGCGATCTCAGCTCACTGAAACCTCCACCTCCCGGATTCAAGTGATTCTCCTGCCTCAGACTCCAGAGTAGCTGGGATTACAGGCACTCACCACCATGCTGGGCTAATTTTTTATATTTTTAGTAGAGACCGGGTTTCGCCATGTTGGGCAGGTGGGTCTCAAACTCCTGACCTCAGGTGATCCACCCACCTCGGCCTCCCAAAATGCTAGGATTAAAGGCATAAGCCACCGTGCCTGGCCTTGATAGGCAACTTTTCTAAGCATCTATAGCATGTAGAGTATGCAACATTCTTTTCAACTAAACCTAGGTACTTTTTTTTTTTTTTTAGATCTGATGGTTTTAAATAGGCCTAGGTACTTTTTAGCATGCCCTTGTTTTACGTTAGCCTTTTCTCCTCAACTACTGCAAAACTCATTTTGGAAAGGCACTGCTTTTTATATTTATCTGTTCCCCACTCTACCTCCCAAAAATTATGTTGGGTGCTTTAAAATACCTCATTAATATTGAATGATTTGGCCGGGCGCGATGGCTCACACCTGTAATCCTAGCACTTTTGGAGGCCGAGGTGGGTGGATCACCTGAGGTCAGGAGTTCAAGACCAACCTGGCCATCATGGTGAAACCCATCTTAAAAAAATAATAATAATAATTGAATGATTGGTTAATTGATTGATTGACTTATTTATCTCACCAGTATTCTCTAAATTGAGCACAGAAGGCAGTGATCAGAGGCAGGGTGCAAATCAACCAAGGCTCCTTGACAGAGTAAGCGGGCCTTTGAAGACAGGAAGGAATAAGATGGGCGTCACAGGACAGTGAAGTAGTGGGAATACATCAATTGTGTACAGTGTATCCTCATTTTGCAGATACCATATTTGTGAATTTACCTACTTGCTAAAATTTATCTGCAACCCCAAAATCATTACTTGAGGTGCTGTCCCAGTCACTCACAGACATGCACATCCCAGAGCAGTAAAGATCTTGAGTTGCCCCATGCACACCCTCCCAGCTGTGGTGGGACAAGGCGATGCTGTGCCTTCTGGTATCCTTTCTGCTATCCATTTTGTTTGTGCTTTTCATACTTCTGTGCTTTTTGTTGGTGATTTTGCTATTTAAAATGGCCCCCAAGCAACTGGGTGCAGTAGCTCACACCTATAATTCCAGCACTTTGGGAGGCCGAGGTGGGAGGATCGCTTGAGCTCAGGAGTTCAAGACCAGCCTGGGCAATATCGTGAGAACCTCCCCCCTGCATAACAAAATAACATGAAATAACAGAAAATAAATGGCCCCAAGCGTAGAGCTTGCTGAAGTGCTACCTGTTGTTGCTAAGCACCAGAGGCTGTGGTGTGCCCACTGGAGAAGTGTCCTGCTGGCAGGAGCTACTGTTTACCTGCTGTGAACTCAAGGTTAATGAATCAGCCATATATTAAATAAGGTGTCCATTAAACAGAAACACACGCAGAGTAAGGTTATGTATTAATCATAATGTAATGAAAATGTTGTGTCCAGAGACTCACAGGAACCTAAGAAGTAATGGCTTGGTATTCACTAATTCGGTGTTCACAGTGACTGTAGAACATAACTACCGCAAATAATGGGATGCGACAGCATACAGGAACATCCCATCATCCATGTGGGAAAACGAAATATCTGACCTCTAGGAACATCTGTGTTAGCACCGCCATGATCATCTCATCCGTGATCCATGGCACTTCAGGCCAGGATTGGTCACTCTGCTCACCTGCTCATGTCCATCCATCTGTGCTGCAGCCTGTCCTCCTGCCACTGTGTGAGCTGCCCCTGCTGCCTCTTCTACTCTTCTTCCATCCAACTCTTGTGAACTTGGCCACAGACCTAACTACCAACCAGCAAATAATACAGAGCAGTGGTGCTCAACCCTGGCGGCACATTAGAATCACTTGAGCTGCTAAAATATCTCCATGCCCAGGCCCTAACTAAACCAGTTAAATCAAAGTCTTTAGGGGCTGGGGATGGTGAGGGGAATCCCTATTATCAGAGACTGAAAACCTTGCCAGGTGGTTCCAATGAGCAACCAAGTTTGGGAACCACTGGTAGAGCATGCTCTGCCCTTCCCTAGCCTGGAGCTCACCTCTCTGAACAATGTCCACCTTCCTCAAGCCCTCACAACCCCAGGTCCTCTGTCTTTAAGAGAGTAGCATGTGGCCTGTCACAGTGGCTCACACCTGTAATCCTCTTTGGAAGGCTGAGGCAGGTGGATCACCTAAGGTCAGGAGTTTGAGACCAGCCTGGCCAATGTGGTAAAACCCTCTCTACTAAAAATACAAAAATTAGCCTCGTGTGGTGGCTCACACCTGTAGTCCCAGTTAGTTGGGAGGGTGAGGCAAGAGAATTGCTTGAACCAGGGAGGCAGAGGTTGCAGTGAACCTAGATCACGGCACCGTACTCCAGCCTGGGTGACACAGTGGACTTGGTCTCAAAAAAAAAAGAAAAAGAAAAAAGGTAGCATTATGGATATATGCCTATGTGTGAGGGGTAAAGTGGTAAGGACTGAGAATATGAAATTTGTATTACCTGGGAAAATGGGTGACTTTAGCACAAGTGATTATAGATACAAGGACATTAATAAAGAAAAACAAATACAAAATATCAGCTGGGCATGGTGGCGCGTGCCTGTAATCCCAGCGACTCAGGAGGCTGAGGCAGGAGAATTGCCTGAACCCAGGAGGCGGAGGTTGCGGTGAGCCGAGATCGCACCATTGCACTCCAGCCTGGGTAACAAGAGCGAAACTCCATCTCAAAAAAAAAAAAAAATTGTTAATAATTATTTTAGGCTACAGAAAAATTTTAATAACTGTATAAAATATTATTTATAGATAAATTGCCACAAGGCAGTTTTTTTAAAAAAATGGTTATTCAATATTAACAGGTATTACATGGAGAAAGTATTTATGGTCAACTAGGGTTGGCAACTTTTTGAGGTGACCCCAGTCTCACCAAGCTCCTTGTAGCACAGTGATGTCGCTGTCAATCTCCATGAACGGGCTAAGTGTGTTTTTGGCCCCACTTGTATACCCAGGTGGTGGATTTGCTGAAAGCCGCACCTGGGACCAGCTGTCAAGCAGAAAACACAGCTTCTCATGTTCATAGCGACCTCTCAGAGCCACCAAGCTGGCCGTTGTTTCATCATCAGCCTAAACTAAATTCAGAAATGCCGAATGTTCATACACTGGAAGACCGTAAGACAGTTGGGGTGGGCAGGAACTGTCGCCTGCTGCCAGCAGAGCTCCTAGAACTGTGGTCTCTGATGTGCTCCTGCCTTGGTCACTGGCATAGGCGTGACAGCAAAATAGTTTGTTTTTTTATGTGTGTTTTATGGTTATTATTAATATTATTATGATTGAGATGGTGTTTCAGGCTTTTTGCCCAGGCTGGAGTACAATGGCACAATCTGAGCTCACTGCAACCTCCGACTCCCGGGTTCAAGGGATTCTCCTGCCTCAGCCTCCCAAGTAGCTGGGATTACAGGTGTACACACCACCACGCCTGGCTAATTTTGTATTTTTAGTAGAGATGAGGTTTCCCCATGTTGGCCAGGCTGGTCTCGAACTCCTGACCTCAGGTGATCCACCTGCCTC